ATATACCATTAGAATACTAGTTATAGCAGCTCATAAAAGAAGTGTAAATATTGGACAGAACATTTATTAGATAATGTATAACCATACCAAACAATCTAATGATGTAACTCCCGTCATTTTATTCACCCTGTTCAAACATCATGCCCTGCCCCTAAAAGACTTAAATATACAGAAAATTTCCCCAATAATTCAGGAACCACTCTTATGCTACACTAGTGGAAATTATTTAGACTAGAAAGGCACATAACCATCTTTATATTCAAAAGATCTAAAGTGAAATCTTACTCTGTAATACCAAATGGTCCATAGTCCACACCATGGGATTGCCTTCATTCACTCTTCAATCATTTTTGAGTATCTACCACGCACCAGGCACTAGGTACACAGTAGGTGCCAGGTGCTTAAAAAATTGGTGAGGATACACAGACAGGGTCCCTGCTCTACGAAGCTTACAGTCTAGTGGTAGAGAAAGATACTCATCAAGTAATCCCATTCATGATTTGAAAGACTGCAAGTATATACAAAACTACAAAAGAGAAATTTGACTTTGTCAGGGAGAACAGGTAAGTATTCCTGTAAAAAAGGATGTTTAAGCTGAGACCTAAGGATAAGTAGGTATTTAGCAGGTGAAGGAGAAGAATATTCCAGGCAGTGGAAACAACCCATGCAAAGGCAGAGTTCATGGTATTTTCAAGGAACCAAAACAATGCCAGAGCTATGCCAGAGCTGTGACACCTTGGGCAAAGTAAGCACTGACAGCAGACTTGAGAAGTAGTTTGGGACTATACTGTCAAGGGCCTTGTGTGCCAAGTTAAGGTTTCTGATCTAAGAACAGTGAGAAGCCATTGATGTGTTTTAATCAAGGGGGGTGGGATGGGGTGATTTTTGTGATAGCAACATGTCCAGACTCATGCTTCAGAAAGTGTTCTATGGCTGTAATACTGACTAGAGACAAACCACAGGCCAGAGAGAGCAAGAGTAGATATAAAGATACCAGCATAAAGACCACTGCCAGTTTAGATGAGAACAGATGGACAGCAACAACGATAGAAATGAAGAGAAGTAAATGATTTGAAAGATCATAAAGATATAAAAATCAATAGGACATGGCAATGAATTAGATCTGAGGAATGATTAAGAGTTAAACATTAAGGGCGACTCGTAGGCAGGGTGATTATGAGTCCAAGCTTACCAAGCATTCTCAGGGTAATTATTAATAGCACCCTCTTCTACTCTCAAAAGTATCCGGGTTTGGAAAATAAATCAAATGGTCTCTACTCCTAGATCTCTTGCTTGCACTAATTGAATAAATGATGGGATAATCCACTGAGACAGGGAACAATAGAAGAGGTTTGACAATAAATTCACTTTTCAATAAGGCAAATTTGAAAAACCTTTAAAGATTTCCATGTACATATGTGAAGTAGTTATCTACATATAAATGGAACTGACTTAGCAGGGATGAGATAACCTCATAAGAAAATACTGATAGAGAAAGGAAAGGACACAGGTTTGAGCTTTGAGGAACTCCAACTTACAACAGCCAAGTACAGAAGAATAAATCAAGTTAGGAAGAAAACTAAGCATCATTACATCACAGAAAGCCAAGGGTAGAGACTATTTCAAGAAGGGAGAGTCAACTGTGTCAAACAGTGTGCAAAGTCAAGTTAAATGGGAAGTCAAAACTATTTGATGGAATTAGGGGCAGTCACTGTTGACCAAAATGACGCCCGTTTTGGCACACCAATGGAAACAGAAGTCAGACTAGACTGGGTTCGACAGCGAGTAGAAAGAGAAAAAATGAAAATACAAAGTTTAGAGAACTTTTTCAGCGGTTTGGCTATGAAGAGAGAAGCAAAATTCTCTGGAACAGAATATCACTCCCTGCTAAAAAAAAAAAAAAAAAAGAAAAGAGAAATTAATGGAGAAAATCTACTTGAGAGGGAAAGGAATAAATAATTGAGAGACAGTTTAAGGGCTGCTCATTAACAGGGGATATGCGCAGATTCCCTTTTGATATTTTACTAATTTTGTGGGGACCTAGGAGAACCCATGACATATAAACCATCATCTTCTTCAGGGTAAAAAGTACTAGAGAAAGATACCAGTCTTTTAGGAAATTGAATATATTCAGAGAGGTATGTAGCAATGTACCATTCATAATCATAAATATATCATTATGATAATATATCACTGGAATATTAGTCACTACTCACATTAAAATCTTAAATATTTAATAAAATACAAGATTTTCAACTATCCAAAGTTAAAAATATTCCACATTATCAACACCCATGTAATTTAGAACATCTACACCCCTCAGTTATACCTTTGGTGAAGATTATTTATTTCTTCATCCTTGCGGTTTATTTCCACTCTGGCAGTTTTGATAAGTGCTGAAATATTCTTCTTAAGAGACTGGTTTTCATTTTTTAAGCTGAAATTCTAAAACACCATAACATGTATTAATAAAGTACCTATCCACAGGATTATTAACACTACTACTTATGTTAGCTAATAATTGTTGAATGCTAACTACATGCCAGGCATCCAACAATTAATCTTATGTAACTGGTAAATAAGCCCTATGCGAAGTACTATTATTCCCATTATATAGATGGGGAAGCTGAGATTTAGAGGAGGTAACTAGCATCAGAAAAAGCCCACTACAGAGTTATGAAATAGATACATATAAGTAGGTTTTCGTCCACAGTTCCTGGCTTGTAACTCCCATAGCCCTTGTTATAGTCTTTTGTTGTAATGTTGGGTGCTTTAGTCCTCAGGAGCAGGCCTCAGGAAACACACTCTCTGACCTTTTCCTGCCCTCCTTTCACCTGCCCCAAGGCAGGACTCTAATCTTCCCCTCTCCTTTCTGATTATAGACCCTCATTCCAGAGAGGATCCCACCCTATGCCCTGGAGGCCAATCACATTTTGACAAAAGTTTTTCCTTAAAAACCCAAGATGACTGGGTTCAGAGCGCTTCCACATAGCTGAACATGTGGAGGTTCCTAGAGGGTGGGGCACCCAGGGAAGGCATGGAAGTTCCACGTCTCTTCCCGGATACCTCATCCTATGCATCTCTTCATCTGTATCCTTTGTAATATACTTTATAATAAGCTGCGAAACATAACTAACTATTTCCCAGAGTTCTGTAAACCACTCTAACAAAGTAATCAAACCCAAAGAGAAGAGTTGTGGGAACCCCAAGTTGAAACTGGAAGGTCAGAAGTTCTAGAGGCCCAGACTTGGGACTAGTGTCTGAAGGGATAGGAGGGGGCCATAGTTTTGGAGACCAAGCCCTCACCCTGTGGGATCTGACACTATCTCCAGGTAGATATTGCTGGGATTGAATCAGAGGACACTGGTATCTGCTGCAGAACTGACTGCTTCATTGGTGGTGGAGAAAAACCACCCACATACACACATTTGGTCACAGAAAGTCTTTTTCTGTGTTGATGACTATTGTGGTGTGAGAGCAGAGGAAAAACATACTGAGTTTTTCCTAAACATCCACTTAAAATGAAACATCTTAAAACAGGGATCAAAATGAAAAATCAATAAACAGCAGGGGGAAAAAAATAGGTCTGCCTGAGTCATTATCTTGAAAGTTGAAAATAAAAATGATAAAAATTCTATTACCTTTAACAACTTAGTTTAAACTTGCGACAATGTATTGGTTCTCAGATAAATAGAGAAAGAATCTAGAGTGGACTGGTTTTATCAGGAGAAGGGGAAAGGAAGAGAAATAATTTTACCAAAAAATAAAAATCAGAACAGGACATGACATTTCTAATTTTTGCAGCACAATCACAAAAAGGGTCATTCTGCCAACACTGTGAATTATTATTTTTCACCATTTTTGAGGAGATACCATTTGTCCCCAAAAGCATTTCTAATAAATCTTTGTTCCTCAAAGCCATTCTCTTTTAAAACATCTGTCATTATCTCTAAAATTTTATATTACTTAACTATTAAATGATCTAAATCTAACAGATCTTTTATGTCAATGTCATTTAACAAATAAGCAGTTTTCCTATATCAACTTCATCAACTCAAGAAATAATCCATATTATTATTGGATTATTGGATTATTATGGATAAATAATCCATATTATCTGGCATTATTTCTATTGCCAGATTTGCTATTTCATTTAATACTAAAATAAAGCACCTTTATAAACTGTCAACACTTTAGCATTCTAGTTTCTATTTATAACCAAAAAAATTTTTAAGTATTGATTTCAAAAGTTTAGAAGGCAAAAATAAAATATTCATTATAATCCTACCTGTGTCTGTATTTCCTTAAACTTTTTCATCAGCTCTTTCATTTGCAACTGACATTTTCCATATTCTACTTGCAACTGTTAAATATAAAAGGCCTAATTTAAGGATCATTCTAAATTATTATCTTAGCTTAAATGATATTTCAAAATATTGAAAAATTTGCAAATCAATCCACCAAGAAGTATAGATGAAATCTATTTCTACGAGGTATTAGTGAGATTACTGATTTTTAAACTCCAAACCTTAAAATGCAAATACAGTAGAAAGAAATGTTAAGTCTCAGGACATTTCATGCAACATACAATATAACTTAGTACAAATCATGAAAAGATTAAAATGTTTTAACACACTGATTGCCTGTTGAGGTATCACACATTTAGACATTTAAATTCAGTCAAGCAAAGTGGTAACTAAATTTAGACAAGTATTCAGAAAACATTCCTTTAAAAAGCAGATCTGAAGGCAGAAACAGACTTAAATACTCTGTTAGTCTAAGACTTGGTTCCTAAACACAAAATATATAATAGTAAGATGCTGACTGCTCTTTAGGGGCTACAAAAGAGTAAATAACTGTCCTTATTAACTGTGGCGACCCATACATCATTATATGTTGCCTCCTTTGCAGTTCCTTCTTCGGTCAGGATCTCTTCATATAAATCTAAACAATTTCTTGATGGTACACAGGATTTGGAAGAACAATCTAAAAATAAACAAATAAAAAAACTTTACATTAAAATATTTGTTATACTCTTCGATGCTATGTCTATTTCAAAGGCTTATACATTTCTCTACTCCTACATTTCATTTCTCCTATATTCCAAATTTACACTGCTTTCACAGATGACTGGAATACCAGTTTACCTAAAATGATTATGTCAACAAATCAGGTGTGGGGATCATATCTGTTCAAAACTTTGAGACATTTGGTTATGGAAAAGGTTTCTAATTTGTTTTGTTTCCTTTTTTTGAAACATTCAGTTCTCACTCCTCTGTCATCCAGGCTAGAGTGCAATGGTATGATCATTATCTCACTGCAGCCTCAAACTTCTAGGCTCAAGCGATTCTCCTGCCTCAACTTCCTGAGTAGCTGGGACTACAGGCATGGGCACCACCACACCCAGCCAATTTTATTTTTTGTAGAGACAGTGTTTCACTATATTGCCCAGGCTGGTCTTGAATTCCTGGCCCCAAGCAATCCTCCCACCTCGGCCTCCCAAAGTGCTGGGATTACAGGCTCAAGCCACAGTGCCTAGCCAAGATTTCTAATTTGGATAGGTCATTAGACTCTCTGCATATCACTCTTACAAAAACATTCATAATAACTATACTTTTCAAATGTTCTAAAATGATGTAACATACAATAGTATGAGTAGAAATATACACACAGACACCAGCACTGGTTGTATTTAATTGGCAGAAAATATTTTTCCACAAAGTCCAATTAGATCTGAGACCTAGATGAGTAACAAATGTGTGTGCTAATTTATATTTTTTTTTTTAGATGCAAGGTCTCACTCTATCACCCACGCTGGAGTGCACCAGCACAATCACAACTCACTGCAACCTTCAACTCCTAGGCTCAAGCGATCCTCTCACCTCCTCAGCCTCCTAAATAGCTAGGACTATAGGTGTGCACCATGATGCCCGGCTAATTTTTAAATTTTTTTTTTAGAGATGAGGTCTCACTACATTGCCCGGGTTGGTCTCAAACTACTGGCCTCAAGTGATCATCTGCTTCGGCCTCCAGAAGTGCTGGGATTACAGACGTGAGCCACCACACCAGACCTAATGTGTTTTATCGATCAAGCAAGCTCTGGGCAAGAAAATAATTGTCCGAGTATAATCATTTCTAAGAATGGTCAAATTGACTAGGATATAAAAGTTATACCAGGAATTGGTAACAACAAAACAAACACAACATACTAACCAAACAAAATGAAACTATTTTGTGGAATTTACGTACCAGAAACAGCACTGTCCAACCCAGCATAGATGTCCAATGAGCTTTCATCACTATTTTTAAGAGGGGAAGCTGTAAGAAAAGCAAAGACTAGTTAAAACTGACTTTATAAACTGAGGTTTTTCCATTCCTACTCTGAAGGGCCAGGAAACAGACTTTATTAGTTTTGCTCCAAAAAAGAGGCAAGTTTTTCTACATATTTATAAACAGGAAGATTTTGACACATAGATTTATGCCTTGACTACCTCAGATTTAGACTTAAAAATTTGCTTTCAAAAATATATTAGTGGGGGGCAGAGCAGGGCCTTGTAGCTCTGCAGCCTCATCAGGCTCAGGCTCCTCCTTTAAAAAAAAAAAAAAAGAAAAGAAAAAATATACTAGTGATTAGCTGGGAGTGGTGGTGCATGCCTGTAGTCCCAGCTACTCAGAAGGCCAAGTCAGGAGGATCACTTGAGCCCAGGAGTCTGAGGTTGCTGTGAGCTAGGCTGACACCATGGCACTCCAGCCCAGGCAACAGAGTGAGACCCTGTCTAAAAAAAAAAAAAAAAAAGCTAGTGAGAAGCTTCCAATTCTAGTAATAACAGTAGTTTCTATCAGACCAATTGTCCTGCAGATAACAACTATAAACACTAAACAAAATATTCACAGCTATCTGAAGAGATAGAGAGCAACCCAAAGGCGGCAAAAACTAGAGGGGAGACTACACCTGAATGAAGACAGCATTGCATGAGTTCCCCATTCCACTTTTATTACTGCTTTTTGTTGAAGGACAGGCTCTAACTGGAGCCACATTGGGCAGTGACAACTGAGATAGAAACTTCCAGTCCTAATAGCTTAAAGAATCAGAGGAAAGACTTTGGGGTGATAATAGCAACTAGAAAGTGAGAGGGGAAATCTCTGGGTGATTCCCCAAAAAGGGCAGAACTCCAAAAAGCCAGCTAAAGCTAAAATATTTGAACAGAGATTTCGATTGCTATCTATTACAGGCAAGACAGAAGTGCAAGCTCAGCTAAGTTAAATACCTGCTAAAATTAAAAACAACAACATGCCTGTAATCCCAGCTACTCAAGAGCTTGAGGAGGGAGGATTGCTTGAGGCCAGGAGTTCAAGACCAGCCTAGGCAACATAACAAGACTCCATCTCAAAAAAAAAGAAAATTAGCTGAGCATAGTGGTACACACTTGTAGTCCCAACTACTCGGGAGGCTGAGGCAGGAGGATCGCTTGAGCTCAGGAGTTCGAGACCAGCCTGAACAAGAGCAAGACCCCATCTCTACTAAAAATAGAAAAAATTAGCCAGGTGTGGTAGCATGTGCTTGTAGTCCGAGCTACTCAGGAGGTAGGAGGATCATTTGAGCCCAGGAATTTGAGGCTGCAGTAAGCTGTGATGATGCCACTGGACTATAGCCAGGGCAAGAGGGAGGGGAGGGGAGGGAAGGGGAGGGAAGGGAAGGGAAGGGAAAGGAAGGGAAGGGAAGGGAAGGGAAGGGAAGGGAAGGGAAATCATTACCATTCATAGTGGCAAAGCTGCTAATTTGATTACATTTTAGAGGCTTGAAAGCATACAATAGGAAAGTTCACATTTACTAAGCACTCCTATGTGCCAGGCATTTTATGGTATTAATTCACTAATGTATGAAAAGAAAAGTTAGTGACAGTTTTTCCAATGAGAATAAGTAAATAATTTTATAATTTAAAAAATAAATTTAGAAAGACAATTAAAAGTAGCTCTTACCAGAAAAGACATCAAAAAGACTTGTTCCATCACCATTGTCATCATCTGCTGCCATGATCCTATTTCCTTTTGATAGTCGACACCTAAGGTATTATACATAAAAATTTTCCACTGTTAAAATCAACCTCACAATTCAGAGAATAAAACCCAGCTTCAAGTTAAAAAGCAACTTTCAAATTTGGACACATTGAATAAGTTTCACTCTCTACTATCCTTAAAAGCAGACTCAAGATATAAAAAAAATGTCTGGCTGGTACGATGGTAGTGGTTTATCAGAACTTATTAACATTAGTGTCACTAAAGTTGGTATATGACCCCCCGACTGTTAAATTTGACTAGCTCAAAAAAAATTTTTTTCCAGGCAAAAGTCAAAACTATAAAATGGGTTGGGCGTGGTGGCTCCCGCCTATAGTCCTAGCACTCTGAGAGGCTAAGGTAAGAAGATTTACATGAGCTCAGGAGTTCGAGACCAGCCTAAGCAACAGCGAGAGCCCCCGTCTCTACTAAAAATACAAAAATTAGCCTTCTGTGGTGACATGTTCCTGTAGGCCTACCTACTCAGGAGGCTGACTGAGGCAAGAGGATGACTTGAACCCAGAAGTGTGAGGTCGCAGTGAGCTATCATGATGCCACTGCACTCTAATCCAGGCAACAGAGCAAGAACCTGTCTCCAGGAAAAAAAGCCCACTATGTGCAGACAGTTGGTGAATTCTACCATATCTTCAAAGAACAGATAAATGTTAAATCTACTCCAGACAACAGAAAAAAGTTGTTTGCTAACAGGAAAGTAATTTTTTGAGGTTAGTATAGCCTTACTATCAAAACTGGTCAAGGATAGGACAAAACAGAAGCATAACAACACAGAAAAATTAAAGCCAATCTTTCTTATGAACATGGGAAGAAATAGCCAAAAAAAAAAAAAAAAATCAGCCAACACAATCCAGCAAGACGTTAAATAAAAAAACATTATGAACAAGTGAAATTTATCCCAAAAATGCAAGGGTGGTCTCACATTAAAATTGCTTCCCACAGACATATGGGTTAGTAATTCTGATGCTGATATAAATGGATCTTGGAACTGAACAATCTAAATTAATAGGTGGTAGATGGTGGGAGCCAGATTTCTTACTATTGGAGTGGGAGGTTATAGAAAAGCAAGAGAACCGGCTAGAATGACCCATGAGGTAAGGAATTAAAGCTGAAGACATCTGTAAGAATCACATGATTAACATACTATAGATACAGATAATTAGATACAGAAATTTTTGTAGATGTGTATATAGTAATATATGGGTTAGTATACACACATATATTTCTTTACCTCAGAAGATGTAAAAGAAATGATATCCCAGTAGCAACAAGCACACCTAGTACCCAGATCTTGATGTCTAATATTGTTCTCCATTAAAATGAACCAGGGTTGGCCGGGTGCAGTGGCTCACGCCTGTAATCCTAGCACTCTGGGAGGCCGAGGCGGGCGGATCGTTTGAGCTCAGGAGTTCGATACCAGCCTGAGCAAGAGCGAGAGCGTCTCTACCAAAAATAGAAAGAAATTAATTGGACAGCTAAAAATATATAGAAAAAATTAGCTGGGCATGGTGGCGCATGCCTGTAGTCCCAGCTACTCAGGAGGATTGCTTGAGCCCAGAAGTTTGAGGTTGCTGTGAGCTAGGCTGACGCCACGGCACTTTAGCCCGGGCAAGAGAGTGAGACTCTGTCTCCAAAACACACACACACACAAAAAAAAAATGAACCAGGGTTCTTTGGAGAAATAGCTGATTCTAAAAATGGGCAGAAATACACAAAATAAGCATGGGGCATCTTATTGTGCCAGAAAGTAAGTGCTCAAAAAAAAAAAAATTGATGGGCATATGTCAAAGGGGCACAGGAACCAATTGGAAGAGTTCCCAATGGCTGAATCTAGAACAATTTGAGCAAGAAAAGTAGTATTAGATTGTAAAGTAGTACTTGATTATAGTGGAAAGTATAAAATAAATATATATATACATCCATACTGATATAAATGAATTAGTAAATGAGAAGAGACAAATCCTCCATGCAGAAGAATTCCAAATAAATTACATAGATAGTCCACCCTAAAGGAGGGATAACAAAACCTCACTCCTTAAATGTGGGCTGGGCATGGTGACTTCCTTCCAAAGGGTACACAATATGACAAAGGAGAAAAAGAATAACTTTATGGTAAAGAAACCTGACAAACACTACTTCAGCCAGGTGATCAAGGTCAACGTTAATAGTCATAAACCATGTTGATAGTATGTACTCTTAATATGATGTGATGAAAATTGCACTTTACCTCTGTGATCTTCTTCCCCAAAACCCATAATCCCAACCTAATCATGAGAAAAACAGACAAATTCTAATAGAAGGGTATCCTATAATATACTTTACCAATTCTCCTCAAAAACTGTCAAGCACATCAAAAACAAGAAAAGTGAGACAATGTCACAATCAAGAGGAGCCTAAGAAGACATGACAACTAAATGTAAAATGATACACTGTAACAGAAAAAGGATGCACATTGGGTAAAAACTAAGAGCCAGGTGTGGTGGCTCATGCCTATAATCCCAGCACTTTGGGAAGCTGAGGCAGGAGGACTGCTTGAGGCCAGAAGAGTGAGACCGGCCTGGGCAATATAGCGAGACCGCATCTCCACAAAAAAATTTTTAAATTAGCCAGCATGATGGTGCATGCCTGTAGTCCTAGCTACTCAGGGGGCTGAGTCAGGAGGATCGGCTGAGCCCAGGAGTTTGAAGTTGCAGTGAGCTATGATCATGCCACTCTCCTCCAGCCTGGGCATCACAATGAGACCCTGTCACTTAAGGGGAAAAAAAAAAAAATGGAAATCTGAATAAACCATAAACTTTAGTTAATAATAATGAATCTTTGTGACTAGCCTAGGCAACATACAGAGACCCAGAGACCTGGTCTTTACAATAAATTAAAAACTTAGCCGGGTGGGGCAGCTTGTGCCTGTACTCTATGGTCCTCGGTACTCAGGAGGCTGACGCAAGAGGATTGCTTGAGCCCAGTCGAAGGTTGCAGTAAGCTACAATCACGCCACTGCACTCCAGCCTGGGTGACAGAGTGAAACCATGTCTCTATAAAAAAAAAACAAATGAGGAAAAAAAAAAAACCCTGGAGAAACCACAGAAGCATTTCCTTTAGAGACAAGTATGATGCTTCCATTTGAGAAAAACAAGACAATAAAATAAAAAGGAAGAAACTGAAAAGAACTGGAAAGAAGAAAACAAAGCTGACATTATTCATACTATGATCACCTATGTAGAAAATCTATATTATATTGCAACTGGTAAGTATTTGGCAAAGTTGCTAAATATAAGATTAATACACAAAAGCATCAGCTTTCCTCTGTACCAGCAAACAATTTTAAAATGTAACTGATGAAAAGATACTATTTATAACAACAAAACCATAAGGTACATAGGAATTAATCTAATATAAGATGTGCAAGACTTTTATGGGAAAAATAATGAAAGACCTAAATCATGGATCTGAAAACCTCTTCTTAAAGGGCCAGATAGATGGCTTGCAGGCCTTTTAGTCTGTCACAACCACTTAACTATGCCGCTGTAGCTCAGAATCAACCATAGACAGTATGTAAACAAATAGGTGTGGCTGTGCTCCAATAAAACTTTATATACAAAAACAGGTAGTTGACCCTTGATCTAAATGAATGACAAAATATCTCAATCATATATGGGAAGACTCAATAGGAAAGTTGGCAATTCTCTCCCAAATTTACCTATAAATTCAATGCCATTACAAACAAACTTAACAAGCTAACCATAAAATTCAAATTGAAGTGCAAAGGGTCTAGGAGAATCAGGACATTTTTTGTTTTGATGATGAATGACTAAACTTTTTATTGAAGTATAATCATTTGTCGCTTAACAATGCAGATACGTTCTGAGAAATGCATCCTTTGGTGATTTTATTGTTTTAAGAACATCACAGGCAGTGTGGCTCATGCCTGTAATCCTAGCACTCCGGGAGGCTAAGGCGGAGGATTGCTTGAGGTCAGGAGTTTGAGACCAGCCTCAGCAAGAGTAAGACCCCGTTGCTACTAAAAACAGAAAAAATTAGCCAGGCGTGGTGGCATGCACCCGTAGTCCCAGCTACTTGGGAGGCTGAGGCAGGAGGATCGCCGAAGCCCAGGAGTTTGAGGTTGCTGTGAGCTAGGCTGATGCTATGGCACTCTAGCCAGAACAGAGTCAGACTCTGTCTCAAACGAACAAACAAACAAAAAAAGCCCCTTGGTTTACGGAACTTAGGGGTTTGGGGTTTTTTTTTTTTTTTTTTTTTGAGACAGAGTCTTGCTCTGTCACCCCAGCTGGGGTGCAGTGGCACTAATGTAGCTCAGTGCAACTTTGACCTCCCAGGCTCAAGCAATCCTCCTGCCTCAGCCACCCCAGTAGCTGAGACTATAGGTGTGTGCCATAGTGCCCGGCTAATTTTTTTTTCTTTTATAGAGACAAGGTTTTGCTATGTGCACAGGCTGATCTTGCACTCCTAGCCTCAAGCAATCGTCCCACCTCAGCCTCCCAAAGTCCTGGGAATACAGACATGGGCAACTGCCTCAGCCTTATGGCACTTTGTTAGCAGCCCGAACAGCCTAAGACAAACATAAATAAAGAACACAAATCATAACTATATAGGAGCATGATTTTTCACAAACTGAACACATCCATTTAACTACCACTGAGATCAAGAAACAGAACATTACAGGACCCTAGAAACCCTCCTCATGTGTCTACTATTCACTGCCAAATGTTGGCAAAGATGTATGGAGAATGAAAGCATACACCTTGCTTTGTAGAGATAGGACTTGCATGTCTATGGAGGAGGGGGGAATATTTGTGGGGATGTGTACAGATTCCAAAAAAGAATACCATTAGCAAAATCTTTAGAGGAAAGCTTCATTAAGGTATATATGAAGAAATGTAAATAAAACAGCTTGGAATGGACCTTGGATAGAACAGGATTAGGAGATAAGACTGTCAAATTTCATTAAAGTCAGACAAAAGATACTAAATGTCAA